AGCAAATTCCTTAAAACTTGCAATCTAACACGGAGGCCTGAAGGACATTTCTCTTCTACATCTTCATAAAGAATTACTGTGTGGCATCAGTGTGAACAATCTCCAAAATGTCTTACAGTAAATTTAATCAAGAGCCATGAAGTACAACCGTTCTTTGAGCTTACTGAAGATACATAACCACTGCAGGTAAAATTGAGTAAAACTAATACTTAAGGCTAGGTTAACATAGTATAGATGAAAAGTCTAACTGTCTACATAGAGCCAAGAACATGTTGCTGGAGGAATGAAGTCCACAACCTGCATCAGCGTTCATAAATATTAATACTGCTGCTGAATGCTTTGCTGGAAAAGGGCTACTCATGGACAGGGCCAATGTTTCCCTTAGAAAATGATTTCAGGTCCTCTCCTACCTCAAAGAAATGACTTATTAACAAACCACAAACTAAAACAAGAAAATAGAAAACTTCAAAGAACTACCTTCATTGAAAGTACCATGGCAAACTGTGCAATGAATTCTAACTTTTAAAAAGGTGTAGTTTTTAGATAAACTTTTAATGGAAATGGAAAATTTTCACTAAATTACTAAATGTGTGGGTGTGTGTGTGTGCATGCATGCACATATTCTATATATTTGGGGTATTGTCTAGCACTCATATTATAGAATTTCTAACAATAACTGTTCTTTGAAGTATTCTTAAGTTTTTCATTCTTACAATAATTAGTTAACAAGGTTATATCTATAAAGCTTACTGCTATCCCACACTATTCAATAATTAAATAATGCTTTTCTTTCAAGAGTGTTGGCGCACCTTCATTCATTTTATCTAAAAGGAAATTTGGAACAAAGCAGAGATGGAAAGAGGATAGTATAATCTTTAGTACCCTTTTAAAAACTACTTTCTGATATGAAAAGATCATATTACAATGACTAGATTTCATTAGATTTTAAGCTTAGTTAAGTTACTTATCTGCTCTTTGTGTTAATATCTTTATGACTAGATTTCATTAGATTTTAAGCTTAGTTAAGTTACTTATCTGCTCTTTGTGTTAATATCTTTATCTATTTAATGAGAATCATAATAACACATTGTAGTTTTGTTGTGAAAAATAAAAAAGGTGACATGCCTAAAACAGTACTTTGAATATCGTAAGTACCCACTCAGAATTATCTATTATTCAACAGAAAATAAAACTTCATATTTTGATCATGTAGCCTATACTAAATTACTATTCACACCATTAAAGTAAATGAAAAAAATCAGTAAATACTGCAACCAATGATGTTATAGCAACACCTTTATCCATTGGAGTATAGCACTGAAATGGGATTCTTCAGCCGAAATCATGCTTTAATTTAGAATACAGTCAACTCTGGATATTTTAGATCCTCAGGAATCCAACAAATCATCAGTCTCTATACTACTATTACATATAATATTCAAAACTAAAAAAAACTTAAAGACCTTTTCTCAGCCACTCAGATGACAATGAATACACCACCATCAGTAGAACATCAACAAAATACACCATCAACAAAGTGTAATTGAGACCTAACACTGCTTTGGAAGAGTGTGGGTTGGTTGACCATGTAGCTTAGGTAAGTCTCATTTAGGTAATATTCATTTCTTAAGTTCAACTATGTCATATAACAATCTAACTACAGGAGCGATACCCTAGAATATCTGTGACGCTGTTTTACACAGGGCCTGGACATGATAGAGGACAGAACTCTAGTGACATCTCAGAATTTTGCCTAAATTATATTTCAAAGCTTTTCACTACCCAAAGCCTAGTTCAAAGGGTCTAATATGTTAGTCCATGATGCTAAGTCTTGCAATCTATCAAAAAGAAATTTATTTTGGAAGTATTATTCAGTTGTCCCATAAATTCATAATTTTAGAATATATGGTTGACTTTTTTACAGATAAGATAAATTCCAAGCTAAAATGGACAGAATCATACCCCTGGCACTGATGATAAAAATCTGAAGAATCTGACTATCATACTATTCTATATTCTTTACTCACCATGACTTTTTTCAAATCATCTGTACTATATAAGGAGGTTTTACCATGTTCACACAGAAAGTTCCATGCAGGATTAAGACTATTACGATGATTTACCTTAATACAGAGGAGATAAATAAGTTCATCAGAAAATCCGAGCTTCTAAAATTGCATTCAAGAAATCTATGCTATTAATACTAGTTGCTAAAAGTCTATTAATGTAACTCGATTTATTGGCATAATTTCACATCATTCCATAATAATTTTTACAGTAGTTCTCTGTGTGTAAAATTTATACTAATACTTCATTAATATCTGAGCCAAAGTTTCAAATCTAAGTCCTTATACCATCTTATTCACTCTAGCATACTGTTTTTATATTTCTTCTCTTGTAAGTAGTATGTGACTAGGTTAGTTGGATGAGTGTCCTTTGCTACTGAATTAAGCTTGGAAATTTTTTTTTTTTGTTTTCTTTTTCTTGTACTTGGAATTGAACTCACAACCTTGCACTTGCCAGGCAGGCCCTGTGCAGCTGAGCCAAATCCCCAGCCCCAATTGGAAATATTTTTTAAAAATTAAAAAATGTATACTTTAAAATTTAAACTGCAGTTTTCATTATAACCTATGGATATCTGTATCTGTGAATCATCTCTCTATAAATCTGTTTGCCAGTGATGAATTCCTTGCAGCACTTTTCTACGTCAAGGCTAAATAATATACTTCAATCAAACACAGGAAATGTTAGTGGCTGTGTGGATTGGACAGTTGTATAGAATTTTGAGTTTTGCTAGGACTTTAGTTGCCTAGGAAAAAATTCTGTGAATATCTATGGATGTTTGCATGAGATGAAAACTGGGGAATGCAGGGATATAATGGCACATATTTAGCATATTTCAGGGAGTTTGCTGTTAAGGAATACGCAAATACTGGAGAAAGGGTATATATCAAACCATCTTTACACAGATATGTTTATTAGCTTAAATTTCTTGATTGCAGGAAGAACTTCAGTATCTTATACAAATGCCTGGTGCTTTCTGGGCAGTCAGAAGGAAACCAGTAAAAGGAAGAGGTTTAAAAATGTCTGTAGAGACAGCTTACTCCATTGATAATTTTGTCTAAAAATGCCCCAGACCCAAGCAATATGTATTTTGTTATACATTTGCTCATCAGAAAGGAATAAATAGAACCCTTGAATCTACACTTCCACCCTTTTTCAATAGAGTTTTAACTTATAATAATCATCAAACCTCTTTGATCATAGTGATTTTTATGTGAAATAACATGTGTTTGAAGTAAAATATTTAATTTTGTACATAAAAGTGGATATGCACTAAAAATATTTGTCTTAGACAATATAGTGGAAAAAGTACCAAGGTCAATGACTGAGCCACTGGGAAACCTTACTCTCCATACTGACACATGGGCTGGAGCTATAGAACAAGATTGGTGCTAATGATTATAAATTCTCAATGGAAAGCCTTCTTAACGTAAGGAAAAACATCTTGCCAGGCATGGGAGCCACACACCTCCTAGCACTCGGGAGGCTGAGGCAGGAGGATTTCCCCTGAATTCAAAGCCAGCCTGGACTGCATAGTGAGACGTTGTCTTAACATTCCCTCCATCAAATCTTGTGAAATGAATCACACAATGAATATTAACAAAAAATTTATAAAATAGTCAAATCAAATGTGCAAAAGAAAAGTGATCTGTTTTTTAATCGGAAATTTTATTAAAAAGATGAAATTAAAAAACAATAAGGGAAAATCAGGTAAAAAGAGGGTAAGAATGAAAGGATGGGGATATTTATATACATATGCAGAGAGAAAGAGACAGAGACAGAGAGATGGGACAGAAACAGAGACAAAATAGGACTCATATCGGATGTTTTAAATATTTTCTTAATAAATATAACTTATGCCAAAGTTTCATACAATTTAATTACATCTGATTTTGTCTAAATATTTGTATCACTGGTTATCAAAAGAAGTGTTCTAAAAAATGTATAAGGTGAAAGGCTGCCCAAAATATTTTATGATCCTTTAAAGGGGATGTGACTTTTATTTTTGCTAATTTATAGATTTTGTCACATTGTACATTAATTACACTTCAGCATTTCAAGGTCTGTTTTCTTTCTTTCTTTTCTTTTTCTTTCTTTTCTTTTCTTTTCTTTTCTTTTCTTTTCTTTTCTTTTCCTTTCTTTCTTTCTTTCTTTCTTTCTTTCTTTCTTTCTTTCTTTCTTTCTTTCTTTCTTTCTATTTGAGACAGGGTTTCGCTATGCAGTTCAGGCTGGCTTTGAGCTCACTTTGTAGCCCAGGCTAGCATCGAATTTGCAATGATCCTCCTGCCTCAGCCTCCCAAGTGCTGGGATAACAGGTGTGAGAGAACCATGCCCAGCCAAGGCCTGTTTTCTGATTGAGAAAATTATGCTGTATCCTCTAGTTATGTAAAGAACCTGGAATTTAACTATAAAGTCATCATATTAGATTTAGGTAATGGCTTGTCAATGCCAGCCTTGGCCCTGCAGAGATGGTCATTCATTCAGCAGGTACATTCAGTCCTGGCATGCAGGGCAGTGCCAACACTCCTCCTCAGTTTTTTCTGTAGTTTCTTCTAGTTTATTTCAATCTCCTCTTTTCCTTACTGTGAATATTCCTACTCTTTACATATGTATCATTTTCACAATTCCTTCTCTTGCTGACTGCCTTTTTCTCTAATTTATTCTGTTACACCTTAAGATAAACTCCTCTTTCTTTCTTTTTTTTTTTTTCCAATTTGGTGATGAGACTGGACAAAACTACAGTGAACTGCAGGAAAACAAAGACCGTTTCAGCATTAACCTCTAAAATGTTGAATATATTCTGAAGAAAAGATTGGTGTGAAGGTATTAAGATAAAATTTCTCTACAAATACACAAAAATCTATTTGAAAAGAACAGATCCAGTGATCTCTCATTAAATGCTTTTCAAGTTCACAAGAGTAGGAAAGATCGGGTACCTCTGCTTGCTTGATGGGAATGTTCTCATAGCTGTAGGAGTTATCCAACGCGGCATCATAGGTTTCAGAGTCATAGTTGATGTCCTCCGGGGTTGGAGCAGTCATAGCAGCATCAAGGATGACGAGTCCTACAACAAGTCTTGCTAACATTTTCATCTTTCAAAATCTCCTAGTCATAAAGTATTAAGATGCACACATATTTAATGGGCAATAGTTTACAAATAATTTGCTATGAATAGGAATGTTAAATGAATATCAACATTAAAGAAATCAAGCTGGTGGCTTTATTTATGTGGAGAATGTATCAAAACAATACATGAAATTAGATAGATGGCTTCTCAGGACCAGTTATATCAAATGTTCAAATCAAGGCACAAACTCACATGTTTACAGTAGATATCTTAATTATGATGAAATTGATTTTAGGAGAATAAAATGGAGAAAGGAAGATGGATAGAAAGTCAGTGACTCAAAGGAAGATGTAGAAAGATAGTGATTCACATATTTATAAAGGTGTATCATTTAAGAGTTTTGGCATTTAAAGTCTACTAAGATTCTTTCATCAACTCTGAGATACAGGCTTAACAATGAAGCTAATGATAATGATGTCTACAACTGCCAGATCATTTTGTAAATGAAGAAACTTAAACTGTTTGTTAATCACACAACTAGTATTCATAACTTTCATAAATATTCAAACCTAGGCATTTCCAAACTAATGAAGCTTTTTACCCTAGTATTTCTTTGCTAGATTAGAGCATATGAATACATGCATAATTTAATATGTACATAAGTTAATATTTCAAGCACTGTTTTCCAAAGTATTCTTAACTAAATGAAAGAGAAAATAAAACTATAATAGTCCTTAGTATTTTATTTTGATTCTTAATAGCTGTCCCAAGTGTACACTCAGAATCAACATGAACATTTGTCTAAAAGCCAATATTTGGGAAGAGTCCATTAGAAAAGGATTTCAACACAGGATGAGAGAAAGGTTTTTAAATAATTCATTAATAAACATAATTCATATTTTCTATTATAACCTAAAACTAGGCGGTTCTTTCAAGGTCTTATATTTAATTATTTTCTCTCTGTATGTACTCACGTGAATACATTTCAGCTTAAGACAAAAAGTTGATGCTTAATTATAAATATTTAAGTGGGTCCTATAGAATGTATTAATAATCATAACTTATTCAGTAGGCAATGTGTTTTAAAACTGTTTATCAAGAATATCCAGTTTTAAAAGATTTGATAGTTTGGACACATTTAACAACTTTACATTAAAATCAGTACATATGGTGTTAGTACTCCTGCACACATGTAAAGATGAATTCATAGTAAATATTACTCTTAGAGGTTTATGCACTGGCAGACAAACTGATCTTCAGTTTTCTGAAAGAAAGGCTTTCTGAAGCAAGTCCAGGGAGAAGGATATGAAATTCCCTTGAGAATAAGAAGCAGTACAAGGAGTCCCTTTTTATTCCCTACTATCCTTTTTTCAAATGAATTTTTGATTCCAACTGAATAAAGTAAGCCTCTATTTCACTACATTTTGCACCAGTCTTTGCAGGACTGCAGATTTGGAGCTGTTCTGGGCAATTACCAACCAAGTCTTACTTAACAAAACAGTGTGATTTGCAAAGCTTCCAGAAACCATCCTCCCATCTCAAGTGGGAAGCATTAACAGTGGCTACTAAGCTAAAACGGTGTTCTACTTGTACATTTCTGACAACTTCTATTGTTCAAAGAAACTATGCCTTCGCCAACTTTTTTCTCCCTATTTCACATTTAATTATAAATGACTACATATCTGAGTTTACTTGCATTCAGTGTATCCCCTAGAACTATTAGCAATAACAGTCTGAGTGAACCAGAGTAATATGAAGAGTATCTTAAGTTTAAAATGTATCTCTTTTTAAAGACATTGTTAATATTTAATGTAGTTTCTTAATTGAAACATTGAATCAGTTGCTCACTTTACACCATTCCATAACATTTTGAAACTGTATGTATATTTAAAAGCTTAGAATATTTACCAGAAAAAGACATTCAAAATGCATGATGCCCTATGGTCAATTAGCATATTTTAAAATGCCTTTAATACCAATATTTTCTCCCCTTGCTTAATATTTTCATCAATATCAATCAATACTCCTTATTTCTATGGCCAAAGGTTGTGGTCTGTGTCTGAGCTCTTGATTTAAGAAATGTATTGGAAACCACTCTAATTTTATTGGCATCTATTAAAACTACTAAGATCAAATATTTTCTCTATGTTTTTAATGTCTAAGCAAATTCAAAATTTTGGTCATTCCAAAAATAATACACAAACAAAGTCAACAACAAAATTAAACCAAACACATTGGGTCAAATTTCACAGGGAGATATTAAAGCAAGTTGAATTTTTTTTTTAAAGGATGGAAAAGTAGAGAAAAAAATCCTAACCCACTAAGAGAGAAAGTGTGAAAACTTACCTTTGGCTCCCACTTGGAGAAATGGCACAAAGTAATCAGAGACGGAGAGCAGGGGTATTTGCCCCTGACCAATGGATGTGAATTCTGTCCTGTGGGAGGTGGAATTTATAACACTCAACTTTCTGTTTGGAAAAGCTAACCTTGAGAAATACTTCTGTGTCATTAAAAACCCCAAATTATTTTATGGTAGCCCAAGCTAAGCAGCAGAACCCAATTTACATAGTCTATAAAGCTCTTGAAATTATGCTAATGGAGTTATAATTGCCTATGAGTCCACCTTCAAAATTTTAAGTAGAAAAAGTTCACTTTAATGTACCTCGTCTCTAGCAAATCCATCAGATAGGAAAGGAAGCTGATACATAAAGGAATATTATAAATGAGTATTTCATGAGTATTCTAATAGGAAGTAATTTTCCCAAACCTTGCATGTCTTGAATTCCTTTCTTCACTTTTCATTAATGTTAAGTGAAATGTAATAAACGTTAAAGAAGACTTAACTGTTTAAATTTGGCTAAGTAAAAAAAATGTGTCCAAATTATTTTGATTGCTTTAGGTGTTTTAATAATGATGAACAATTAACACTTTGCATGATAAATTAAAATAATTATATTTATAAATAATGCATAAATACAATCTGAGCTCTGGAAAGAAAATGCTGTCTTTGTTTTGCTCTTTTATCTACCACAGCCAAACAAATCAAATTACATAAAGAAAAAAATTCCCCCAAATACAAGATGTATTTTAGGCTCTTGATACCTGATGTGGTTTGTGAAAATGTTTTGTTACAGATATGGAGAGAAAAAAATACGTATTAAATTTCCATCCCTCACTTTCATACTGTGCAAGTTGCAGAGAAAGGTGAAACTTAATCTTTCATTCCAGTGTATTTTATGTAAATCTGATTCGCTGGACCAAGAATCTGTCGTCTGTTGCCAAAATGAATAACTGTTTTGAACTTTGAAAGCTGACTTGGTTGGGGGTAAAGCAATAGGGGAGAATATTGCCTGCTTCAGGTTTCTCTCCCTTTTCTTTCTACCACTTCCCAAACGTCCTTGTCTGTCTCACTATCACTCTCATACAGTCCTGCTCCCAAATGATTTGCTCTTGGTGTCCTTTCTTTTTCTGGTGATCAGTATTATTTGGGACAGAAGTGATGATTATGGATAGTGTCTAAAAACTAGTGAAATTAGACAGACATCTAGGAGCTGAGACCTCCCGTCATGTGTAAAGTCTCACCCCAACATAGAGAGGCTAGTTTTAAAAAACTTACTGGAAAAAATACAAATCTGAGTTTCTGTGCCAGCTTTGTTTAGCAGCAAGTCCCCATGCTCAGTTAGAGGAGTTCACGTATTATTAATTCTCTCAACATGTCCTTAAGCAGGGTGGTTAGCACTATTCAGAGATATGAAGACTGACGAGGTGCTAAGTGACCCAGCATCACATGTGAAATAAAGAAAGAGAAAACGGAACTGGGTCTTCAGATGTTCCTCAGCAGTTTTTTTTTTTTGGTACCAGGAACCGAACTCAGGACCTTGTGCTTTTCAGGCAGGCACTTATGCCACTGAGCTATATCCCCAGCTCTCAGCCCTTCTGAGGAACATGGAAGCAATGAAGGTACCAGCAGCACTGAGTTACTTAGAGTCCATTTCAAGTCTTCTTCATGTGTAAATTTTTTTATTATTTTTTCGGATATTTTATAACAAAATAGATCAATAGAATATCCATGAAAAAACTAACACTTCTTCCTATTCTCCCATTATTTAATTTAGAAGCACACATTGTCAGGTGACAGAGCTTTGGGGTCTAGGCAGGCCTTTGCTTTTTGAAGGGCTCTGGCTAGACCAGTTCGACTATTTCCGGAAATAACAGTTTCATACTCGCCTGCAGGGAAACGTTTCAAAGATGTCTTCCTTAAGCTTCAGAACACTGCAAGAACTGGTATCTATTAATGCATATGAAGCCCCATTTGCATGACAATTTAATAGCCAAACTATTTACCTTGGTATAGCACTGAAAACATAAATAGTTTCTCAAACTTTTGTTCTTCCAAAGTAATAAGACTTCCACCTGTCCTTTTAAGAACTGATAATTTGCTAAATCATTTCTCTTGATCTTATTTGGACCCATTTCAACATTTCAACATCTACTTTGAATTGTAAAAGCTCTGGTGTGTATGAATCTCATGAGGCCCCAATCACTTCTCAGCACTGAGGAAGGATTAATTACCAGTTTCAACTTTTCTTATCCTTGGTAAATACCTTCTACTCTCTTGATAATTTTCTTAATAGAGCCCAAGCTTGTTTATCATAAACCCTTAGGGGATCACTTATTTTTTAGCAACTGAGGTTTTCTGGCTTTTTTCCCTTTTAAATCCCAAAATATTTTACAAAACTGTTTGGCTACTAATCTTTGCAAAACTAATTAAAAACTATCTTTCTTGCTTTGACAGAATTAATTTCAAACAAAGCAGTCTTCCAATGATTGTTTTCTTTCTGTTCTGCAGCAACGGTGCGTAACACACAGCAGTCCTGCTGAGGACATCCCACGGTGGTTGCCTGCCCTTGCCACTGGCCCGGGAAGACAAAATCATTAACAGGAGAGTACAGATGGATCCCACCCTCTTTATTGCAAGTGATAAAACCACTACTTGCATTCTTGAGCTAACTTTTTACAAAGAACTGTTAGGATGAATCCATGTTGCCTCAGCTAGCTTCTGCTCACCGGTAGAGTACAAAACACCAGACCTTCATTGTCACCATAACCTGACTGTGTGGCCTGTATTGCTCCATACTACCCACTGTTCCCCTCCTACCATCTTTTAAGTCTGATCTGTAACCTACAAACTCACCTTTGTCCTCAGTTACTTTGGAAAAACGTTTGAACACTCCCTTTGCCTTCAAGGAATCCTGATGTCTCCTATTGCAAATTTTCCACTGCCTTTCTGCTGATGCAGTTGCTGCTTGCTCCGTCTCCCTCACATAACAGAAGAGTAGGGTCATTTTTCTTTCTATCAAAATTCTCTTCCAAGTGGCTTCTTCGCTTTACTTCAGGAACTTTTTACTCATTTTGGAAGTCATGACACTCGGACTAGTTGCCTATGGATTCTTTCCTCCATCAGCTGCTTGACCTCCTTGCTCATAATTTTGTCCCTGGGTCATTCATACTCTCCACACATGTCCTTGTCCCCATGCCCACTGCCATGGCCGTCCATGTGCCTGATCCATCTGTCTTACTCACTTTCTAATCACTGGTACACAGTACCTGAACCCCACAACCTTGGCTTAGCTTCAAAAGTTCTAGCCTGTAGTTGGCAGGTACAAACGCAGACAGAACAAGATGGAAGGGGCTGGCACAGAGGAAAGTTGCTCTTCTCATGGAGAACAGAGAGCCAGAGGGGAGGAGCAGCCAGAGGCAAAAATGCGCCCACTGTGACCCACATCCAGTCAGCCCCCAGCACCTAAGGTTGCATTCAGGAACTGTGCTTTCAGTATGGCTGAATCCAGCGTAGCATACAGTGTCCCCACATTCAGTCATCTTCCACACACATGAGATGTCGGGGGGAGGGAACATTTTTGTGCTAAACCATAACACTATCCTTCGTGGTGACCCGCTGTTGTTTTATGTTCATATATGCAGTGAAGTTACCACATTTATTCCCAAGTAACCATCATGGCTCTCAGACCCTCCAAGGCGTCACCAGCCATTTCATAACCCTTACGAGAGTTGTACTGTTTCATCTGTCTTTTTCCCTCACGAGACCTCCGTGCTCTAGACTCCATCATTTTGTCACTGTCCTCTATCTTGCCCATCTTCGCTTCCTCCTTACTCTTAGATTAGAAAAGAAATTATTGTAATTATTCTCAAAGGCTTTCTCTCTCTTCTTTTTCCTTAGGTCATACCCACATGGGAGAACCTCAGTCTTGACTGAGTACAACTCTCAACTCTCCTGCCTCCCACATATGAGAAAATATGAATACCATATTAGTGAAAGTCACACACAGCACTGATTAGCTTCATTTTACATTCTTAAAAATAAACTTTAATCTTAGCTATCAGGTCCAGTGTGTTTCTCATATTGATTCTTTTTTTTTTGACAGACTTTTTAATTTTGTTTTTTTGAGACAGGGTCCCACCATGCAGTCCAGGTCGGCCTTGAGCTCACTTTGTAGGTCAGGCTGGTCTCAAACTCACAATAATCCTCCTGCCTCAGCCTCCCAAGTGCTGGGATTACAGGTGTGCACCACCATGCCCAGCTCTCATATTGATTCTATTTCTAATACTCAGATAATTATTTTACAGCATATCTTTATCTTCACACCAAGAAGGACAAGCTTGGGTTATTTGTAGTAAAATGGATGTATCTGAGACCATAATATTAAATGAAATATATCAGACACATGTTTAAATATTGCATGATTTTTCTTGTGTGAGAAACCCAGAATATAAACAGCAAAATAAAAGACAGACAATAGGAGATGGGGAGATCAATCTTTTACAAATAAGAAGGGAATCAAGCGATGGAGGGGAGTAGAGAGAGGGAGAAGAATGGGTTGAATAAAGAATTGAATTGTGTTATATATGTGTACCAATTCCCCAAGAGGAAGATAATCATTACGTACTGCAAACATGTACTAATAAAAAATACAAACTGAAAATAATGATTGATTTGGAGGAGTCATGGGCATATTAGTGCATACTCTCAAAATTATCTTGTTTCAAAAAAATGTAATACATATGCTAATTTGCTTCATTTATACTCCTAGCTTCTCTTTGTCAGGGAAGAGATAGTTTTGCACTTTTATTTGTTTCTTTATTCTTTGCAAGACACAGTCTTCTTTGCCTGTGAATTGTACTCTGAGTAACATTTTGGCCATTATTTTTCTATTATGATACACAATATTACTATTAACAATTCACTATTAACAATTAGCAATTAATTATTGCTATTCTGTAAGTATGATTTATAAAATTTTGTTTTACTTTTCATAGAAGAAAGAAGAGTGCTTTTTACTTTTTTATTAATATATACTTGCATTGCGTTATGCTAAACATGAAAATAAAATTCTTATCAATGCAGAGATTCCTTAAATATAATAGTTGTTAGCCAGCACACAGAACATTTAACTGTCTTCTATGCATGACAAATCACTTCATGTGTCATCTAATTAAATATGACCTTCCTATAGAAAAAAAAGAAATGGGAGAAGTGATCAAATAAATAGTTAATTTTCTACTGTCTAATCTACCTGCACTTAATATGCTGCTTCTTTGATTTCTCTTCTGAGACTGCAAAGAATTTAAATGATGGCTAGGATCATATGCTCTTTCATCTTCTAAAAGTGTGTGTTTGTTTTGTTATCTCACCCTTCTCAGTATCTTGCCTTCTACTAGATCAGTTCTGCGAATATATTACACATTCTCTGGCATCGCGGGCAGAATGTTATTCTATATGAAACGACTGAACTGAGTAAAAATCAGTAGAAAATGGTGAAAACAGCAGCAACTTAGAGAACTTGCTACTTACTGAGAGATTACACATCAAATTGTTTTAAAACCTCGAAGCTAGATCCTTCCTCTCTCTCTAAGCTGAGATCAAGTAAATTTTAAAAATATTTCCTCAAATGATGCATTCTATAAACTCTTGGTTTTTGGCTTTTTCAATTATACCCCATAGACAAGTTATGACTTTTAAGCTCCACATTTTTATACATTATTATTCCATTTCTATGGCCTTTTTTTTTTTTTTTACAGGAAACAATTCTCAAGTAAATGTTATTCATTGGCTATTTCCTCTTTCCCGTTCCCATTCAGTCCTCAAATCTCTGCAATTTGGGCTCTGCATTCCACTGCAGCTTCTAGTCTTGTCGTAATGCCTCAGTAGTCTACTTTTGTTTTAATTCTTTTATTATATTTAACTTTTCTCCGACCTTATTGGTTTTGCCTTTTTTTCTCTATCCAGCCTCTATTTCTGAGGTGTTCAAGGTTTTAATCTTCATGATTCATAATTTCTGTATTTATTCTTTCTCCATGAGTGACCTCATCCATGCTATAATTACAGTGGGAACAATAATAATGTTAATGATAACATTTTGAATATTTACTGGAAGCCTGTCACTGTTTATTACTCTCTTTTAAGGAAGAGGAAATTAAAGTCTAAAGAAGTTAAGTGGCTTCAACAAGAAAGAGACAGCCAAAATGAAGGCTGAGGCATTCTGCCCTCACAGCACAAGTTCAAACTCCAGTACTAAACTACCATCTTCTGCTCGAATCTTGCAGCTCTGCATTCCCAGCCTTTGTATTTCACTCACTTGCAAACTCTTACATGCCACTGCATACACACTTGAATGTCGCCTTAATCTGTTTTTTGTTACTATAACTGAACACCACAGATAGAACTTTAAAAAGAATAAAAATGTGTTTGAACCACAGTAAGACAGATGTTTTAAGAGAGTGAGGTAGGCTTCTAGTAATGACTTGCTGGTGGGGACTGCAAAGTCACAAGGGGTATAGGACATCCAGTGCCAAGACAGCGAGTCTTAGCCTAGGTTTCTCCATTCCTCATAAAACTGAAATTCCACTTGAATTGGGTTCCATGTTATGGCCCCTTTAATTACCTTAATTATCTCCCAAAGAGTCATGTATATCTTCCTTTAACCTTAGTTAACTCTTAAATTTCCAAATGCCAGTCTGATTAAACTCCACATACTTCAGATATGTACTAATAAAATAAGATAAAGTAAAATAAAAGCTTCTACCTTCCTCAGAGCTTCCAGTAGGGATTAAATTTCAAGATAGATTTTAGTAGGGACCTTCAAACCATAGCGGCATTGAATTGGAAAATCACAATATGCCTGAAATGATGTGTTTTGGTCCTTTGGTCATAAGCCAGAGTTTTTTCTTCTTTCTTTTGCATTTTCGGTGATCTCACGTCCACTTAGCCCAAAGACCCAAAGCTTTAAAAGTCTTGTAATTTTTTCCAGTTTCCCTAGTGTCTCATCTTTCCCTTCCCCATCCATTCTCAAAAGAGATCAGTTCTACTTCAAATGCATCTCTTTCCACTAGCCATTCCCATCTGGAACACCAAAAACAAACGAACAAACAAATAAATGAATAAAAACAGTGCTACTGAATCTTCCTCTCTTGTGCTTCTCTTGTGATCTCCAAAAAAACAGTCAGAGAAGTGAGAAATACGTAAACACATAGAACTCTTTTTTTCTTTGAAAATAGTAATTAGCTTCGTATTTCTCTTCCAGGAACAGTTAAACCCCTAAGCCATGATCTGGAGAGTGAGCTGTCTCTCTGTTAGATCTCCATTTTCTATCTAAACTGAGATCAAACACCTCTACCTCAGTTACTGAGTTACAAGCCTACTGATGACCTTTCTGTTCAGGGATAATGCCAAATCATATTGATTAACATGCTATACTCAGTTACTATCGCTCATTTTATAGTGCCTGGCTCATTTTAAGACTATTACGTGTCTGCATAAATATCAGCACAAAGAGGTTTTCCTGACCTCTCAAGGGAAAACAGACCCTCTTCTTACCCCCCACACTGTCATATCTTACCACTTTCACTTTTCCATAGCAGGGGACCCTCCCTGCTTTTACGTTTTTCTGTTCTTATTATAGGTCTTATATATTATAAATCTATCCTAGATGAATATAAACTCCATAAAGCATGAAGAGTATGACTGGTCAGATTTTTAGGGTAATCCTTGACCCATATCCTGCTTAGTGATTCTTGAACAAATTAACTAGCAAGTTGTTGCATTGATAAATAATCAATAATTACTTAATAACTGCTAGGATTTGCTTGGGCTACTGACATATATACAGTTAAATACATAAATATATATTATATATAGTTGATTGCTTTTTCTATATTTTTAATTACTTTTCTTCTATTCTAGTTAACTGGGAAGCTGTCCAGAAACACATTTCCAGCTGTTTTGCATGGGCTTCATAAAGCAAAGCTTTGGTTTCATTCACTGTTATGACATGTTGCATACAAAGATATATGGCATGAACTTTGGATTAGAATACAAGAGGTTTTGGACCATTTGGTTCTCCTTCTGGTTAAAAGTAAAAAAAAAAAAAAAAAAAAGAACAAATTAATTCATAGGAAAAGGAATTCATTGTCCCAAATAACTGAAAAGCACAACTTCTTCTGTTTCTAAGAAGTTTCCTCCTGTTGGCACCATTCTTCGAGAGACCACTCGGAGGAGGTGGCTGCAGCTGTTGCAGGCCTTACATTTTTCAGGTAAAAATCTAGAGATAAAGAGGAATGTTCTTCTTTCTAGCAGTCCTTCAAAATATTTCCCTCTGTGTCATTTGTTCTAGTCAAACTGCAGAAATGCACTCAAAACTTGAAGAAACAGTGAGTCTGGAAGAATTTAATGTCCTAATTGACTGATTTCTCAGCTTGTAACACAACTACTTCATAGCACTCAAAGCTATCTGCAATAAATTACATCATTCATCAGGTTATATTCTCTATGAGAATGTAATCTCCTTTAAAACACATTTTACATGAGTCTTAATTGCAATATTGCTAGCATGATATAGAATAGTCATTCATCAAATAAATATAGTAAAATATGTTAATGAACTGACTTAAACTTTAGGCCAAATAATTTTATTCTTCTCTATCCAATTGAAAAATGGGGGGAAAGTGATTCTCAGATGGGACTAGTAAAACAAGGGTGAAGAAATCCTGAGTAACAAAAGTCTTTGAACTTCAGCACAGGTTTCTCTAAACTATTTTTGCTGAGATATAGTCTTCTTGGCTAAATTTTTTATTTTTATCAGTCTTCCAAATGAGTTGCATGCAAAAGTCCAATAATATTTTTGACAAATGAGATATTATGATAATATTAATAAAGTACTTTTTATATTTAGCCTCTGGAACATTATATTCTCCATCTAATTTTCACATTGTTCAGGTCTAATCAACAAGTAATATAATAATATAGCCACCATCAATATTTATTTTATCAATGTAATTTGGATTCAGTTTTTTCCTTTATATTTGATTTTTGCTGGCAAAAGAAAGTTACTTTTGGCATAAATTTTATATAATCATCATAAAAATACAAAGATTATAATTGATTGTGAAAGAGAAAAATAATCTACCCAAATACTTACTACTCAAAATTATTATGTCTGCATATCTACAGATAAGAGACATAGATTACTGGAATGAAATTATAAAATATTATGTATTTTTTCTTAAATCATTTAACTTTACTTATTTCAATATGGGAACAATTTACTTAACTAAAGGAATTTGTGAAAAACATATAAATGTTTCATACTGGTAATATTAGTACAAAATTACTAAAGAAAAATAGGAAAAAATTGAGAATAACATATTTTTTGCATATAAAAACTTTAAATCTACTTCTTTACATTTATTTTTATTCTACTTTTCCAATATTTTATTTCCAGTGTTTTATATATACTTTTCAACTTGTATTTTCAGCTTATACAGTTTAGTAAGTTTTTTCTTTATCTGAAGGCAGGCTGTTTGCATTAGCATACTTTCAGTGCTTTTATTATCTCCTGTGTATCCAGTATTAAAACATATTTAATCTCCACAATGACCTTATAAAATACATGCTACTGATGAATTTTCTCAGGATTATACTACTGAAAATTTTCAGAATGGAAATTATGAAAACTTAGATCCTGACAATTCTTTTGTTCTATTATATAAAACAATGTGACAGACACTTTACTTGACAAGATATATGCACATTGATATGTATATATATATATTTTTTGGTATTGGGAATCGAACTCAGGACCTTGTGCTTGCCAGGCAGGCATTTGTGCCACTGAGCTGCATCTCCGACCCACACATTGATATTCAGTACCAGTGATCTATTTGTTTCTGTACATCAGCTTCATTTTTCAAATGATTTTTTAAATTATTTTTTTTTAAATCTCTTTTTAAGTCTTTTCATTTTCAGATTTCCTCGCCAATCTTTTGTGCTATGTTTTTTGAGTCTTTGAGTGCTTAAAAGTATCCACAACCCTTTTATTCTAGGACAAATTGTTCGTAAAATTTTCTTGGATCAAATGCTTAGTATGGTAAGTATTACTTCATTGTCATTGGAACTGAAAGTTGCGATGGAAAAGACTGAAGCCAAGCTGATTATTTTCCACTGTTTAGGTCACTTGCTTTTTTTCTCCAGAGTCTCATCAGGTGTTTTCTAGACCTTGCGCCTTGGAGCCATCACCAAATGATTACTCTATGTTCCTGCACTAATTCTCCCTGAAAGATAGGTATAGTTTCATTTGCATCTCTTCCTTTATTCTTAGTTTGAATTTCAGTACAAATCTTTTTTAACTTTAGTTAAATTGCTGTAATCTTTTTTCTGAAATACTAAGTGTATCATTTTTAAACTTGGTTTGCTATTTTTATCCTTTTTTTTACTCCATTAAGTTTTATTCTTTTCTGTATGTTTTCTTGATCCTCACTTTCGTTTATTCTTCATTAACTTTAGTAAATTCTGAAATGTGCCCAGGAAAGAATAACAAAGGCTTACCCTTCATGGGAATCTACTCTAGCAGAGTCCTATTTGAGTTGGAAAAATAAAATCAGTTAACTGAAGCCTTCTCTATCCTTCCTAGGTCACATAAAGTTAGTGGGAAAAGGATCAAGGAATCCTTCTGAAAGCTGTAGCTCCGGAACTCAAGTCTACTAAAATCTGATATTTAATCATAAGTTTCCATTGAATGTTTATCCTCCTTCACACCTTACAACCACAGCAATAAGACTCCAGTATGAAAACAGTGATTACAACTAAGCGAGCTTCAAGACATAAGACTCTATTTAATAGATTTCCAGAAAACCCAAAGATGATGCAAGGAGTTTGTTTCCAAGGAGGAAACAAACATCTACAGTGATAATAAACACTAAAAACACCCAACTTTCCTCCAGTTTAACACTAGAAAACTGGTGACACTAGGGCCTGATACTTGATACATCTTGATACATACTTGATACTTTATTACTGATACATCTTGACAAAATTTTCAACATATAAAAAAAAAATTACACACTATGATAGGGAGCAAGAAAAAGTGATTCAAAGTGACAAAATAGGCATCAGAATAAAAATCAGACACAACACAGATTTGGGGATTATCAGACAGAGAATAAAAAAAAAGTTATGATTGATTTGCTAAGAACTCTAATACAAAATGAGCAAAAAGAATAAACTGATCATAGGAAAAATTATAGAAATCAAAAACACTGCAATAGAGATGAAGAATATTTTTCATGATCTCATCAGTAGACTAAACTTAGCAATGAAAAGGAAGCAGTAACCTTGAAGAGTAAGGATGAATGGAGTAGCCAAGAACTCTGGGCCAATTCCAAAGGTGTAAGATGTAACGAATGGAAATGTCATTTGAAGTAATAATAACAGAAATTTTCAATATACATAACAGCAAATTACAAGTCCATGAAACTCTAAAGACCAACTAAGAAAAACACCAAAAACTATGCCTAGGTTTATCATATAAAAATTACCCCAAAGCAAAGACCAAAAGTTCTTTGAAAAATCTTGAAAGAATTTAGCAAAGCGATAAGTTCTTATATTTACTTACTTATTTTAAATTTTATCCTTTTTTTTCCTCCTTTTTTTTTTCCAGCACTGGGAATTGAACCCAGGACCTTAGTCCATGCGGAGAAACATGTGTCACTAACCTGAATCCCCAGACAAGGGCCCTTATCTTAGTTGAATAAATGTGAGAATTACACTGAGCTTGTAATTAGAAGCCATGCAAGCGAGAGAAAATAAAATGAAATACTGAAGGCACTGAATGACCCACCACCAATTCTACAATTATGTATGCAGTAAAAATATCTTTGATAAATAAAGGAGCAATGAAGACCTTTCACACAAGTGTAAGCTGATGGAATCTGTCATTCCTAGTTCTTCTTTACACAGAATGCTCTAAGTTCTTTAGAGAGAAAGTGATTATAGTTTGTTCAAAGTAGTACTAGCGACAACATATTGGATGATCATAGTATATAGATATGAGTAAATAAAATGAAAGGGATAACAACAATGTTATAATGGATGGGAAAGATGAATTAGTAATATTCTTTACAGAAACTTTATTCATAAGTGCCCAAAACTAAAGGCAACCAAAATATCCTTCAATAGGTAAATGGATAAAAAGTTACATTTCTATCAATGTATTCAGAAATATTTAAAAATCAATTTGAAGATATCAATATGTAATACAACAGCCATTATTTTCCTATTACCTCATCTAAAATTCTGTATTGCTTGTAAGGTTTTTGTGTTATTTTACAAATGTCTGTATGTGTTAATATGTTTTCATTCTTTTATCTTTAAAATTAAAAAAAGTCTGAGCTAGCAAGTCAAAGACTTTGAGGTAAAAGTGAATGTATATATTAAATAAAAGAAGCCAAAAGTAAAGGTGACATATGGTATAATTTCTAATATATCATATTCTAAAAAGGTGATATGATAAAGACAATAAAATGATCAGTGGTTACCAAAACTTTGGAAGAGGTGGAGCAGGTATGAGTAAAAGCACAGGAAATTTTTAGAACAATGAAACTATTTTGTATGATTCACCAATGGTACATACATAACTGTATGCATTTGTCAAAACCTATAGAACTGCACAAAAAATGGTGAACGGTAGTATAAACTCTCAGATTTGATTAATAATATTGTATTATTAGTGGTTCATTAATTACAAGAAATGTCTCATACTAAGATATCAATGATAGTTGACATGTGTGTAGGAGGGAATAGAGTATTCTGTAATCTCTATAATCCTTTTGTAAACCTAAAACTGTTGTAAAGACTCTTCAGTATTGTAGTTTTATATCAATAGATTAGTATATTCATTTACTCACAAATTTGACTTACTTTTTAAAGTATTTCCTAATATGTCACAAACACTGTACTGTAAGCACAAGCCCTGATGGAATTTTCATGGTATAATGAGAATATAGACTAAATATAGAAAACTACATGATTAAAAATATACCATGCCTGGACATATAGTGATTATTCTTAAACACACTGTCACTACAGTCGTTACTACTTGTAGTTATAGATGGGTTCCTACAGTAATTCGGAAGAGTAATTACACACTGTGTATGTTACATGGACACTAATTTTTTTCTGCTTTAGCAAATAATTTTTTGCTAAAGAAAACATTTGAAATCAAAAGAGGCTTTTACTACAGCAGGCAAATGTATCACAAAGTATATTTATGGTGTTCTCATTACAGAGTATCCTCTGATTTCTAACTTTTACTGGCTACCCGTACACATAAATGTCAACAGTCTTAACACTTTTAAATTTTATAAATCTGAAGTTTGTTGGCTCTATTACAACAAATGTCTAGTCTTCTCTTGGCTGAAGTTTCTTTATCTTGTCTACCTTGGTTAAAGCACATGTTCTGAATTAAATAAGTTCATTCATACACTTACTTATAAAGCTGTATGTGTTTAGCTTAGCTTACACAACCGCTGTAGGTGAATGAGCTGTTTCGCATTATGTTTTATTTGGATCCGCAAACATTATCCAAATCTGTCTGTGTTTCAACTATTAATTTTGCTATTCTGTAGGTACCTGTAATAGCATTCAGTACAACTTTTACACATTACCCCAAAGTTTTTTCTCCTTGTTCTCTAAGTTTATTCATTAGAGGAATTTCGAAGTTTCATTTAAAAAATACCTTTGGCATCAATGTTAATAAGAAGAATGTACAAGAAAAATAAGTACACCTTAGGAGCATAATTAATATTGGACTATTAGCAGGTTTATTAGGATTTAATAATACACTGACAAGCAGATGCTTGGTACCTTGATTAAAATAGACACTAAACCTAAAGACCAAATTCTGTTTTATCTTTTTTCTTACAATTTTTTTCAAAAAGTATTTCTGTTTTATTTGGAAAAGTTTAGATAATCTGTTTGTAACAAACCAGGGATATATAGATATGTAGAATATAGATATATAGAATTTCCTATTTCTATAGATGGAGTCAAGTCTGACCCTTCTTAAATTCTCTACAGTGCATCATTTTGCAGTGTGATTTTTTTAAAAGGTTCTTTATTGACATCGTTGTTTATTTCCACCAAGTAATGACTCTTTCTTGTGCCTAGACTTACACGTAGAACCCTTAATGCAATTACAAACATGCTTCGTCTCCTGTATTGTTTGTCTGGCACATGCCTAACTTTCTATATGCAGTCAGTAACACTAGTCTTTAACTTCCTCTGACACAACAAGGTCTTTCCCATTTCAGATTTTTCACATATGTTATCTGTTGAGCATGTGCCTTTCTTCTTTACTGAGAAATACTAACAGCAATCATGTATAATCAGAGACTTCAAAGGTCTTCCAAGCTAAAATATATTCACAGCTACTATCTTCATAGTGTACTCCTTTACTGTTCTGTGCCTTTTACTGAATATTTTACATTTATTTATTATCTAAAATAATTTCACAAAACTGGATCTATTTTTTTTTTTTGTTTTGTCTTTTTGAAACAGAGTCTCACTATGCAGTTCAGGCTGGCCTTGAGCTCACTTTGTAGCCCAGGCTGGTCTCAAATTCGCAATGATCCTCCTGCCTCAGCCTCCCAAGTACTGGATTACAGGCATGCGCCACAATGCCTGGCCCAAAACTGGAATTCTATAGAGGCAAAAATCATGTTTTATTTTCCCCACTTTTTTATACCCAGTGTCTAGTTGTGTTTCCAGAACAAAGATGCAATTCAGTCAGCATTTGTTGAATGCAAAATTGATGTTTTAAAGTTTATATTGTGTAGAGTAGCATTAATACAGAAATACATGAGATGCAAGTAAAATGAAGGCAGACGACTAGAATCACTATTTCCTCATATGGCCTGGATGTCTATGGATAGAAACAACATACAGTACTGGTGGTTGTTCAGTATTTCTCACGTCAGCCCTGGCCTGGTACCATTTCTTGAACTTGGTGGTAGGAAGCCACTCAGTGGGTGAATACCTTGAGCTTCCCTATCTTTCCTCCTATTCATAATTTCATAACAACCCATTTGACATTTATAATTTTAGTGCTGCTATGCCAGGTCCTGATAATTATGAAGGAATTAGAATATTTCTTAAAGAAAACCATGGTAAGGTTCAGAGTTGGAGACATCAAGAAAAGGCAGCAGGAAAATATGACACAAATTCTTTGCTCTGTAGTTGTATACTTGTATTTCGTTCTGCGTAATAGACATTTACACACATGCTCACACAAACGCACACACACAAGACTGGAGGGAAATACACCCCAGTATTAATAATGTTTATGTTCATTTGTCACAATCACCATTGTCTTTATGTTTATACAGTTTTCATTGGGTTTTCTAAAATTTTTACAAGTGCTACCTGCTGTCCACCGCTGCTAGATATGAGTATGTTCTCTACTAAACTGTGACACCTGAAAAAGCCACATTTCCTTAAATTAGTTCTTATCATACTTTATTATAGTATTTATTTCAGCATTAAAGTAAAACCTGGTGAATATTAATTCTTTTGTCAGTATTATTAGTCACTATATCAGTAGCAAATGGAATATTTTATACTTTTATTTGAATTACTTGTAAATGTACTTTGAATTGTTATGAAGAATTGTCAAGTTTAATAAAAAATGCAGCGTGCCTAGTGCAGTGTGAATTTCAAGCACACAACAATTTTATAAGTATTTCCTATACAATATTGGAGATATATTTATCCTAAAATGAACCCTAATTTACATGAAATTCAAATTAACAGAACATCTGTATTTTACTGTCAATTCTGATTAGCTCAGAACTTGAACAGAAAGAAGCATGAATTGCACTGCCCTGCAATTAACCAAGATTACTCATAAAATCTCTAGAACAGCCGGAAATTTAAGGTTCATCTAGGAAATCTACGATATTTAAAGATCCCCCGGAGTATATTCAAATGAGGTTTCATCGACAAGTGAACCTAATATAATCAAGGAGAACTTGGGAGCATGAGTATAGAGCCGGGAAAGATGGCCGCTGGCCAGGGGAGATTTATGAACACTTTGCAAAGTAAGGTGACACCCTGAAGTGCCCTGAAATCTTAAAGACCTGTGTGTTATCCAAGAACAGAAGACCCTACGACTTCTGAAAGCTGTGTATGAATACTTTTCTTTGGCTTATAATGATCTGCATTAGTCAAGAAGTAACATAAGAAGACATTTTAGGTTCTGTTTTAGTGAATCTATTTTAAGCCAGTTTATGGCAAACACGCTGGCTTAGGAATTAGCTGTCTATAATATAACTCAAAGTAGGTTTGAATGACCCCTACTATATCAGCCATAGATTTCCAAAGAAACAGAAGCAATGAAATATATTGGTGTGCATACATAGCCCATAGAAATTTATTTTACATAATGAGTAAATATTGAACTCTGGGACAGCTGATTTCAAAGCTCAGGTACTTCACCCTATGTTAGGAATGAAATGCTTTGAAACTTAAAAATGAATATGGGTTGAATATTTCATGTTATGCGTCAACTTGGCGGGATGCTGGTGTACAGTAGTTTGGTCAAACATCACTCAAATACTGGACTAACACTGATACTGGTGCTTTGAAATCAGTGGTCCTGAGTTCAATATTTACTCATTGTGTAACCTGGAAAAACTCAATTTCTCTTTATCTCAAATTATATTCCTATGAACCATAAAATAATACCCTTATAAGGTTAATAAGAGTATTCAGTATACGAATAATTATTGCCTGTATCTGGAAATGCACAGGCAAAATTTAGTGAATAATAAACTGTGTTTACATTGATAGCTATTGTCATTATTTTCTAACTCACAGTGAC